AAAAGAAATATATAATCAATTTATTAATTTTATAGAATAATAGTAAATTAAAATTTTATTACTTTTATTATTTGAATAATTATTCGTGTCTTAAAATTATATATAAATATTAATAACAGGCAGCATACAAATCATATACGTTTCAACATTTCTAAAATTTTGAATTAACAGTCAACTAAGCATTGAAATTTAAATTTTAGTATACATATACATATACATATTCAAACATATATACTCATTTGATTCTTTATTCACATATACACTCATTTGAATCCAATATGAATTGAAATTGAAAATGACAGAATGTATTGTAAAATTCTTCAGATAACAAATTCCATTAATGCATTTACTTGATTGAATTTATCATCAATTTATACAAGCTGAATACTTATATTAGATAATGTATCTAATAAAATGAAATATGTGTTTTACATAGCTATACATCATTTGATTTTTTCCGTGGTGTAATGTGTTTGAATTATTAAAATAAAGATTGATACCTTCATATTTCAATTCCACTTTTATAATAAGTGTATTGAAACAAATAAGTCTATGCTTTATTGATATCATTCTTGTTGCTTGTCTGGTTTTCATTGTTGGCTGATATTTACACTTTTGTAATTGTCTTGAACGAATGCATACACTGTTAGATATAAATACATATCTTGTTGTATCTTTTTTCTTGTCTATATCTTGTTTATAATCAACATCAATATATTCTTCCTAAGATTTGGCATTTCTGGTATATGAACAAACAAAAAATTATGATACTTAATACTCTTGAAAATGGAATTTAAAAAAACAGTGACACACCTCTCAATCCATAAACAAAAGCTAATAAAACTCCATTTTTCTTCTAAATTTTTTCTTTTATTTCATATCTCTATTTATCCGACTTAGCAATTAATGCAAGTATATATTCGTATGTGTATTCTTTAAATTCAAACCACATGGGAAAGTTTTTTTTACAGAAATCAAACCGTTGCATTGTGCCAAGATCAATTTTACTCGATCTACTTAAGATGGGTCTTATTATTATGTGTGGCATGATGCAATGTGTCGGTGTTATGATTGATAATCTTGTCATTGAATTCGCTCATTTTTTCTCAATTCTAGAATAAAATTTAACCCTCCAATACAACAGAACATAGTATTTTATGCGTCATCATGTTGATCATCATGATCTCATTATAGCAACAATGAAAACAATGCATACACAACACATTTACCAAGTCACAACTACCTACATTTTCCGCTATGTTTTTGCCAATATCATGTCAATAAATATAAATTGTCGTTAAATCAATTATTCTAAAAAATTATTTATGTACACAAAGATAATTTTCTATACTGCACTAAAACTTGTCTCAACACTTTTTTGCCTTGACTATAGTATGAGTTCAAAAGAAAACATATAGGATTACTATGATCTATTGAATACTAGAACAAATTTTAACTCATTTTATGCAAAATCACAAAGTATTGGATCAAAAATAGATACCAGGTAGCTCTAAAATTAAAATTTTAGATTTTCATCACAACAATCAAAAAACACACATGTAATTCACTCGTTAGAAACTTAGTTCACATAAAATCATATTCTTTAATCAAATCATTTCTGTATTACACATAGGTACAACTAATTCTCATATATAACTGAACCTAACCTAATCAACATTAAATTGTGTATATAAAGTTTGAGTTCTCTACTAATAATCATTACATCTAGAACACCATATTTTTCATTGTATTTTGTACTAGAAATTTAAAATACTTAATTTAAAAAATATACTAATACATGAAAAAATATATCAATAGCAAAAATAAATTTTGACTAGTTTATTTGTTGAAGTTATCTTCAATATGGATGCATTACATGTGTAAGCTTTACTACATTAACATTGTTAGAATGTCTGTTAAATAGTCTATTTGACTGCATAACAATAATTTATTTTGCTTAATATGTCATATATGAAAAATTTGATTACTTGATTTGGCTTCTTGGATAATACGTGTTAAAATAAAGAGGACTTATTTCTGATATATCTATCAATAACCCAATGTTTGTAAAGATAAATCTGATTTGAGATGATATATGAATATATTAAAACCATGCACATGATTACTTAGCAGCAAAATGATCTAGATAAGATTGTCAATATTATTTGAACAAACCGGCAAATTTATGAGTGGTGTTGAGGTCAAGTAGAGTTTCAATACATTTGAAATTTTAAATTTTTGAATCATAATTGCACACAATGAATTCAATCATTTCAATGCAATCACAATACTATTTCAAGCTTAAAAAACTAGAAACATTTTGAATATCCACGTCTTTTGTACCAAAAAAACAAGAAAATTTGAGATTAATATTATCAATATGAAAATAACTTAGTTTCATGTTGAAAATTGCTCTCAAAAAAATGTAATCATAAAACAAGAACTCAAATTCAAAAATCCAACTCAGTTGAAACAAATGCAAATTGATTATTGCAATGACGGAGTAGATAATATGTAATAATGATGCTATAAAAAAACGAAGATTTCAGTTAGATTAAAATAAAAAATATGATTTCAATTTAGAGACAAGTCATAAAATATTTTTAAATTGCAGGTTTTTAAGTTAAAAAGCTTTTCACTTCAAAAATTAATACAACCTGTATTATGAAAGTATTAAGAGCAAATGTTTTAAACAAATACACTGGTAAAGATTCAAAAGATCATTATTTTATTTAATAAAAAAAAGAAACCTTAAAAGATAAAATTTAAAGTTTCTTTATTCCAAGTAATTTCAAATAGTAAAAACATTATGATATCAATCCTATGAAACATGACGATATAAATACTAATGAATGTAAAAAAATGTCATGTTAATTTTATCTATATATTAAAAGAAAGAATACATTCTTATTATAAATGGTAATAGATCAAGCCCGGGGGACCCAAAGGGTCAAAAGGCTGAAAAACAAAATACAAGCGACAATCACAAACAAAGGAAAAGACCCCAAAGGCCAATCCCTAGCTAGTGCCAAGAGCACATATATAAATATTAAACATAATAAGGAAAGAAAATTAAAAGTGATATTATTTGAAAATTAAATAGTAGTGTGTATTGATTACAGAAAAAAAATTTATGATTAGGAATTAAATAGCCAAAAATCTCAGAATTAAATTTATAAAGCTTGTTGAGATGAAAATTTTATTCATAAAAGAAAAAAGTCAATAGCTTGTACTATAATTACAAAAAATAATTCAAAAATATCATCGTGTAAGTTAAAAGATCAAATGGTGGATGTGCATTTTCACCCAAAAAAAAATAGTTGCTACATAAGATGTGATTTTGACTATGAAAACTTGTATGCTTTTTTGAAAAAGTTCAATTACATGCAAAAAAAAATACATGATGGTTGCGAATGTGCCAAAACATTTATTTATTTTCAGATATACAATTGTGAAAAATGTATAAGAGATGCATGTTATTTTCTTTTCCGTGCATGTGCCATAAATATGGTATTGTGAGTTAAGGATGTTATTCAAAGATCTGATCACAAATTATATGCATATATGATTTAATAAAATTGTATATGTATGTATATATTTATCTATGACTAATTAAACACATTTTGTTTCATTGCAAACGTTTGCTGTCCAATAGATTATGTACTTAATGCTGAACTACAGCTGGAAAGCTATGATTAGTACTAAGCTTCACTAGTATGATCCCGAAATATCTTGTTCTTTTGAAAGGTCTCACCTTTGAATGCCTCTGCATTAATAGTACTACAACCGCACGGAGGAGCATGGTGCATAGAGTTTTTATTGGCAAGTGTGATCATGTCATGGTAGACATGAGTTATTTTTACTATCACTTTCATACAGGTATATATGAACACACCTTAGTTCATAAAGCATCTTGGTCAAAACCATACCGGCCTTAGACTTGATTTGATGATTTTATTCATATCAACTGTGCTATCATACACAATTATGGATGTTTCTGCAGAAATTACAGCTGATGAAAGGATACTTATCAGACTGCAGGCTAGATCAACCCCGACCGTATGCCTGTGGGCTGACGGCATACGGTTACCGTCGTGACGGTCTCTCCTTTGTCACCGTCGCGTGAAGAACTCACCCGTCGAGCTCGCACCCTCTAGAAGACGTTCGATGCATTTGCTCAACACGACCTTCGATTCTCAGCGCTTTACCGCTGGCTGCTCCGTAGCTGCTTTGTCGATTAGAGGGTTTAGGGTTCACAAGATTAGAATTCATGCACCCAGGTAGGGGGATCATTCCTCAGACACGGCAGTCACTTCTGATGATAAGGATTCCACGGAATAATGAGGAAAATAAGCACCATCCATGTGATCGAGACCTAGACATGCACGAGTATAATGCAATCACGTCTTGAAATCGACTCGTCCAGTTAATAAACGCGATTAGATCGTGTTCAGGGACTAGCTGCCTACAGCTCCGTAGCTGACATTGTGCTCGAAATGTTTCAGCTTTACAGGACTAAAATTCATCCTGCCAGCTTCTGGTAAATTTCCATGGCCACGACAATAACTCCCGCAGATACACAGCATGTCTGCCGTCAAGTCACGGGAGAACTCGTTTACTTTGGGGTCGTAGTCATTCCTAAGACCTCAAAGAGAACATTTGTGATTCTTGTCAATTTAGACGGGGTGATGCTCCACTGAAGGATCGTTCGGGTTTCATTAGAATTATTTGACATGTTTAGTCTAGTTGGCATAGTTTGGGCTGCGGGTGAGCTGAATATCCAAGACTATAAGCCCCGCACGAAGTCTCTTGGCGCGCACACCGTATGGGTTTAGCCTGATCGCAAAGAGCTTTCCAAGAAATGCGAGACGAAAATTTCCTCCGGCCTCGTCTCGAAAACCCCAGTGACGGTGAAACCCCTGGATGACGGTGACACACGATCAGTGTACGTATACCGTCAACCCGCGAGGTATACGGTCGGGGTCGATCTAGCCAAAAGTCTTATCAGCCGTCCTGCCTCGGACATTTCCCGGCCATGTTTGGCTTTTGCGTTGCACGAGATGGGGATGATCCATGATATCATCCATTTGTAGGGCAGTAGCTCTCTGGGAAGTACCGGTTTTCACAGAGCAGTGTCTGCTGTCTTCAAAGGATGTGTATTATAGCTTCACCTGTATCCTCTATCATGGTTGACTTTTCTCTCTTGACAAGTGTGAACATTTGCTATCTGAGTATCTGAGTGTTCATCGTTTTCAAATACCTCGCTTCAATTATATTGATAGGCTAACTCTGACTTTTTCCTATGTTATAGACAATATCAGCTATGTCGAGCGATTGTACTTCGCTGACTATTTCTCCTCACTGCTGCATATGGTATTCTTTCCCTTATTCTTCATCAAGGCGCAACTAGAAATAAGACAGGCGTTTAGAAACTTTCATTCCTTCCTTTTCATCCTGGGGGTTGGACACAAGTTATGAACTTTATTCCTGTTGTTCACTTTTAAGTGGAGAGTTGTCCGGGTCAGACTGCTTCTCTTCCTTACCCCGTCTCAGAATGTCTTCAACTTCCACATCCCATACATGTTTGGGCACTAAGTGCATCGGCCCGACATAATGTACTCCGAATATTAGAAAACTCGTTATTTAACTTTCAGAAACATCTTTGCCCCCGTGGAGAATCGCAACCTTGTCGTGTGTCACGTCACGAGGTTGCGATCGCCAGGGGCCCGAGCGAACGCTAGCCCGCTCGGTGAGAGAGATCTGTAGAGCAACTCGGATTTTATGTCAGAAGAGTGAAAATTGTGCTCTTCCTCGGTAAGCGTGTATGTACAGCACCTAAGAATAGGAGAAAAGACTGCAAGAACAATCTACAAAACGGGGGCGCTGCTGCCACACAGACGCTAGGACGGTGCGATCGAGGGCGCTGCTCTCGAACGAAATAACTGTTGGCACTCTGCAAATCTAATCTAGAGGTAGTTGTGAATTTACAATGGTGATAATGATGATGTGACGAGATCAATGTCTGCTCGACCGACTCCATCACTTACAGGAGCCATCGATCGGCAGTGGCGTTCCTGACCAGTCGCTCAGGCATGAGAGCAAGGGGCCAGCCAGCTTTCCGTCGTTTATGGCCTCGTACACGAGCTGAATGTCTTCTCCGGGAGACCTCGTCTCGGTTCCGACGAGAAGCTTCGTGCCCAAAGATCGCACGAAGTTGTACACGGGGAAGCTTCTGCATTCCTTGATTTTGTTCGGAATAGTCGAGAGCCCACTGTCGAATTGCTGTCTAACCTGCGGGACAGTCACTTCTAATTGGGCTTTCAATTCCTCCTCGAAAATGGCTATTCTCCGGAATACCGTGCAGCTCTCATCGAGTTTCGAGTTCTCCATGGCGTGGCCCACGAGGGCCTCGCGCAATTTGGTCATCAGAGGGTACGATGAGAGAGTGGCATCGTCGATGTAGGTGAAGGGAGGAGTGTCATCGACGACTTTCAGGAGATCTTTCTCGCAGAAACGGGACGGCAAGAGCACTCCCTCCGCGTCGACGAACAGAGTCTTCTTCGCCGCTTGCGACACCACCTGCTTCACGCTGGAGAGCATAATTTCCTCCAGGTGCCTCAAATCGACGGCCTGACAGAGCGCAACCATGAAAGTCGCCGACATCAGCTTCAAAATCTCGAGCGCTTCTGCCGTCTTGCGGGCCGAAATGAGCCCCAGCGAATTCACGTCCTGGTTGTGCTGCTCCGCGCTCTGCACGTGCGTGGTGACGGGATTGGCCAGGTACAGCAGCTCGGAGCAGTAGGAGGCCATGGCGATCTCCGCACCCTTGAAGCCGTAGTCCAGGCTCGGGTTCGGGCCCCCGGTCAAATTGGACGGCAATCCGCTGTTGTAGAAATCGTTCACCAGCTCCGACATCTGCGCGAACATGAGCTTCCCGATTGCGCCCAGCGCCAGGCGCATGTTGTCCATGGACACGCCGATGGGCGTGCCCTGGAAGTTGCCCCCGTGCACGGCCATGTCGCGCGACACATCGATCAGCGGGTTGTCGTTGACGGAATTGATCTCGCGCTCGATCGAGTGCGTGGCCGCGCGGATCACTTCGATCTGCGGGCCGAGCCACTGCGGCGACGTGCGCAGCGCGTAGCGATCCTGCTTGGGCTTCTTGAGCGGGTCGGTCTCGTGCAGCTTGGCCGCGGCCTTCATGTAGGCGCTGCCCTCGAGCACCCACTCCATGATGGCGGCCGCCTCGATCTGGCCCGGGTGGTGCTTGAGCTTGTGCGTCAGGTGGTCGGTGAACTCGGGCTTGCCCTGCATGGCCTCGCAGAACAAGGCCGACGAGACCTCGGCGAACAAGGCCAAGACATTGGCGTCGTAGCACGCCATTGAAGCCTGCGCCGCGCCGACGGCCGTCCCGTTCACCATGGCCAGGCCCTCTTTGGGCTGCAGCTCGAAGGGCTTCAGGAGCCCCACTTGCTTGAGCGCCTCGGACGCCGTCAGCACCTTGCCTTCCTGCGTGACGGCGCGCGAGTTGGGGCGGCCGGTGACGAGCCCCGCGATGTAGGACAGCGGCACGAGGTCGCCCGAGGCGGTGATGGTGCCGCGCAGCGGCAGCCTGGGAGTGATGTGCTTGTTCAGCAGCTTCTGCATGGTCTGCAGAATTTCCCATCGAATGCCCGAGTAGCCCTGCATGAGCGTGTTGGTGCGCACCAGCATTGCGGCTCGCGTGGTGGCCACGGGCAGAATGCTCGCCTCGTCCGTCAGCACACCTGCGTTCAGAAATCGGATGAGCTCCCTCTGCAGATCCGCGCCCTGGTTCGTCCTCCGGTGCGAGGTCGCGCCGAAGCCCGTGGTGACGCCGTACGTATCAGTGCCCTTGGTCATGTGGTGCATGACCCACTGGTTGCTCTCGTCCACTCTGTCCTTGGCAGTGGCCGCATCGAGAACCACGGTGACATTCGGGTTCCGAGCCACGGCCGTGACCTGAGCCACCGACAGAGTCACTCCCTGAATCACGATCTCCTGCGTCTGCTCGAACTCCTTCACCATGGTCCTCACCTCCTCCCAGTGGCTACCCGCTGCGAGCTTGGCAGCTCTGGCCCAGTACAGCGCGTCCTCCGAGCTGCCTCCTGTCTTGGGCATGGGACTGACGCACAGCTGCACAGTCCAGCCCCCGTCCACGGGCGCTGAATGCACATCTTCCAGCGCCGGTGTCCCCATCTCCATCACCATGGCCGCCAGGGTTGCAGCTGACAGTTCTCGTCAATTCCTTCAGTCCCTCCCTCCCTCGCTCCTCTCGACCAACTGCTCCTTCTCGAGGCCTGGGGATGGTGTCGACAACGACGTTTCGAGAGATCTAGACTCGACTCGCCTTTCCTCCCCTCGCCCCAGGCAGATGTTTGTTTGCCAGATTCCAGTCTCGTGCCGTGCCGAAGAAGTCCGATGGATTGCTCCGGCCACAGACGGGAACTGGCTGAGAGAAATGGACAGCCCGAGCGTGCTTTAACAGGCTTGCTACAATGAGAGCCCAACGCGAACCCGTACACTGTGTGATATTCTGTGGGCCAGAGTGGGGGAATACTGTGCAGCTTCGAGGCAGAGCTGACTCCAGCAACCATAATACACTTAACGCACTCTCTAATTCGACCACATTCAGCGCTCTCGAGCCCAAGCCCAAGTCCTCTAAGCTGACTTCGTCCCCACTCCCGCAGCGAGACCAGCTCCACGGCTGTGTGGTGCTTATGCTCTCGTCCTCTCAAGAGCAGTGAGTTAGACGCTGCTGTTCTGTTGCTCAGAGCTACTCTGTAGCTGCCATCATATGGCGGTGAGTGATATAAGTCTCTGCTTTATTACACGCCCATTTGACTCCACCATAAAAACTCCTCCTATCGACGATCACATGCTATTGACGCCATTCTACTGGTCGCCATGATATCAACAAATAAAAAGCTCCCTCTTTAATTTTTGGGTTGGTGGTGGAAGTCCACGTGCAGACCCCTTGTCCGTTCTTCCTCCATAGTACGACAGCCAACTTAAGGGAACTTGGATTACGCGGTCTGACCGGACCCGTCGTGTCCTCCTCCTCTCTTAACCCCCGGCTACGAGTTGACTGTGTTGTTAACTAACCTACGTCAACCGGAAGGGGGGTGCCAGTCTTACAGTTCACCTCGAGAATCCGAGAATCAAACTACAAACCGGTCTCCGAGAAAAGCTCGAAGCTCATTCCCGGTTACCAGCACTGCCCTGTTTCGATTTCAATTGCAGCTCACCACTCGGTGAAGGGCGTGATCGAACTGCGGTAAAGGATGGATGGCTGTGGGAGGAACATTAGAACGCTTCTAGACAGTTTGTAATCAATGGGCTTCGTCCTTATGGTCTTCTCCCAGCAAATCCTCTACAGCGTGCCTAGTCAGCTCGAGGCTCCAGCCCGGGGACTGAGGATGATCCAAGTGTCGTGTACCTCGGGCAGATCTTGTGCAGTTGAACGTAATTATGAACCAACGACCACCATAACTGAGCAAAGAGTCAACTCAGCTTCGAAGAGAGCTCTAGATATAGGATGTGCTAGCTGGCTGACGTCGCTCTAGCCAGCCTGACCTCTTTGATTGATGTTACTCCCGCTAATCATAGTTTCAGACTCTAGAAATGACCACCCGGAATTGCTCATTAAAGAGGAGCGAGCACATCGTCAATCATTCTAATCTCGATGTTGCGTGCCTCGATTCCTCTCGTTGTTATCACTTAATGTCTCGGGGCTTCGTTCTCTCAAATCCGAGGGGCCGATCGGATTCCTAAAGTCGTGTAAGCAGTATTTTCGAACTCCGCTGATTTTGCGTCCCAGGGTGAGGAGAGGCTTCCAAAGTTGGCGAAAAATTAATGGGGTTGACTAAGGAAGGGCGGTTCTGACTCGTGCTCGGCCTTGAGAAACATGTCCGTCAGCTAGTCTGACGGACTCTAAAGTGGTGGCTCGAGGCTCTTATCCCTTTAATTCTTGGATCACGTGGCTGCCACCTTTCATTACCACAATGCCAGCAGGTAGGTGAGGCAATATGGAGTTTACTCACGAAAGAACACTTCCGCTTGTTTAGTGGCATCGTTCCGATTTGCCATCCGGGTTTTGTGGCATGTTCGCGAGCAGCTGTTCGAGCTTATATCCGGCGACCTTTTGATACTTGCATTTCACTCTAGGAAACAGGAATTGGAAGGTTCATGTAACTTCTCATGAGTTGGCCCAATTCGAGTTACCATTGCAAGTGTGGTGGTGATCCCATAATCGACAAGAGGCCCTATTGTTGGCACAACATACGTTACGGAGCTCAGCGATGCTCGTCTGAGGATGCCATCACGGACAGATTGTTTCTCCACTGGCGTAGGAAACGCACAGAGCAAGTGGACATCATACTTGTATCTTTGTTCGACCATGTGCCCTCTAGATAATCAAATAGCATACTCCAGAATATCATTTTAGATAAGGTGGTTTTCAAAAGTATTTGTGCATACAATTTATTCTACGCGATCAAGATGATCATTGCATTCATTCATGGCTTGTTCTAGATTACCGGTTTCCACATAGACTGAAAAACTGCATCGATAGGTTGGACATTAGTACTAGAGTTTCAGTTGAAACACGCTCGTTTTCCTTTTGTCTCTTGAGTTGAGTGTTCTTGAACTCTTTGTTCGCTTCTGGTCTACAAGATTGTTCGTTATTTTCGCTGCGCTTGTACATTATGTACCTCAATTTCGTTTTCTTATTAGTTGAAAAGTTGTTAATTTTTGAAAATATCCTACGCTAGAATCTTGATTTCATTACAATTGGATTTACACTTACAAAATTGCAAACTCTCGGAGCATAAACAAGCTAAATTTATATTTCACAAATCTAATTAAAATAAATATAAACAATTTGAAAGAACATTTTTGAGATTCAAATGATTTGTATAAAATTTTTGATCAACTTTTTATTGATAAAAAAATTCTTTAAATATTTGGACTAATATTGATTTAAATTATTTATGAATTCGTTATGTCGAAAAAACGGAGCAAGCACCAACTTTTGGAAAGATAGAGCCATATAATTATACATTTTTTTGTCTTTGATTCAAAGATTTTAATTCTTAGCATGTTTCAGATTCCTCCAATGCATCAATTATTTTGATCTCAATGCAAAATAGCTGCCTAGATGTCAAAAATTTTGGATATTGAATGCTAACTCTTTGATTTTTATTTTTATTTTCTAATCTAGCAAACATGATAAGGAGACATATGTCATAACAAATCTACAGTAGAATACAATTTATCTACAAACAATAATTTGAGATCATCAAGATTATGGCATTCCCTTTTATATATTTTTATTCATCTTTTGAGAATTTTATCATGATTTCACATTCCAACTGATTTCATTTTGATTACCAGATTTCAAAAAAAAAAATCTTTACAAAATATATGTTTCAATTTTGAAGCTCAATTATCATTTAAACTTTATAAAATTTAGATAAAAAAGTATCAGTAATTTTGGGAAAAAATATTTATACAAAAAACATCAGAAGTCATTAAGAGTGATCATGATTATTGAATCTCTTTAAGACTTAATTGGATTAACGTAAAAATTATATATATATATATATATATATATATATATATAAAGTCTGTACATCAGACAAATCACCAGTTATAATAATGCAACTTATTTCTTATATTTTATTAGATCTAACAATAAGTTTTAAGTTTTTTACTACATGTAATTAGTGCAAATTCAAATGGTTGATTGTATGAAAAATAATGTCAACGCTGAATCAAAGTTAGTTTGCTTTACAATTATTGTGTTTACTTTGTCCTTAATGAAGATGATCAATTTTTTTTTATTGTATTTGTGTGTTAAATTCATTGATATATATATAACTTGAAAATTTTATGTATTTTTTCATTATATTAAAATGAAAGAAGTTAAATGATATAAAATATGACATTTTGAATAAAAAAGTCAAAATTTTAAAAAAAAATTAACAAAAAACTAAAAAGTATTTAGGATTTAAGTCGTATGTTAACACTTAAAGCCTACATCCTTTAAATTGCTTAAAAATATTTCAAATAATTTGAAAAATGAATTCTTTCTTTGAATCTAATAATATGTGCTATAATTTCAAGGAAAATATTTTTTTAGATTAAATTTATAATTCATTAAAATAAAATATTAGAATAAAAATTATAATAAAATAAATTAGGCTCATTATTCATTAAATCTATGCGTTTTATTTTTTTAATTCATAATCAAAATATATATCTTGTATTTATAATTAACTATGTAATTTAACTTTTTGATGATTTTATTTAATTATATTTATTATAGATTTGTATATTGTGCTATGCTTTGATTGATAAGTTGTTCATGAGTTAATTCAAATCTTCATTTAATCCAAATAAACTTGATTGAACCTGGTTAGACTAGCGTTCTCCATTTATGAGAGCTCTTCATGAAACTTGTTAGTTTATAATCAAGTTTGAGTTGATTTGTGAAGGTAAGCTTTAGTGATGAACCACACATGCTTAATGTGCAATGTGATTTTGACTGTGTATTGAATACGTTTGTAAATAAGTTTCAACTTTTAATTTGAATAAATTTTTTAAAATTATTTGATAATTATATATGTAATCATATTTTTATTTGAATCAATATGTGACAAAAATATTTCAGAAATAGATGGAAATTTTATTACTAACATTTCAAAAATATTGAAATTAAAGTATTTTACATAAATTTTTTTCATCCATATATAAAATTTTTTCCAAAAAATTGCAAATTGTATTATAAATCATTAAATTAATCAAAATATCAATAAGCATACATTGTTATGATATTACGAGGTAATTACTTGATGGCAGTCATCTTAACACAAATTGTTTACTAGGATCCATCGTGTTTCGTTTTACCCGATGAAATTCCAACGATGGCACATGTCACCAATGTTTTAGTATTAACCAACTGTGTAGACAATTTTGATTTATCTAGATCATGTACAGTGATATAGGCTCTGTTACGCAAAGGTCTCACAAAGCTTCACAACATGTTGCAAGAGGAGAAGCTTCGAGGCGGCGCTGCTGGTGTTTGCCAACAAAGAGTATCTGCTTAGTTCCATGAAAGAATCTGAGGTGTTGAGGAGTCACTCTATCTTGTGGCCTTGCACTAGAAGAGAACCCTGCATCTCTAGAGGGCGTACGTTTGGACAAAAGAGTGCATAGATTGGTTATTCATCATTTTCATGAACAAATCAAACTCGTGACAAATAAATTCTTACGCTATAGCTCGCATAATATATATAATATCGCTACACTTGTCGATAGTTCTTTGGCGCGTCAGAGTCAAGCCTCCGGAGCTCCTTCGGCGGATTCCTCCAAAGACACAACTACAGTTCACTGTAAAAAAAAACTTGAGGGCCGCCGTGGAAAACCCCGAATTAGCTGGTAGATGCGCGGAAAAGCAGAACCCGGTCAACACGGGACCTAATACCTTCTGCATAGAAGATGTACAAGAACTAGTTTTTTGAAACTTGGCAACAATGTGCTTTCAGTGAGGTCTCATTGGGTAAAACAAAACCTTGATGTGTACCGATTAATAATTTGTGTTTAGATGAGTTCATATTAAGTACTTTTCTTTGATGTTATGAATTGATATCATATCATTGATCAACTCAAAATAATTAATTAAAAGTTGAAAA